ATCACACCTAGAGAGAATTTAGAATGTTCCATTAACCTGCCATGCATGTTTTTGGAACGTGAGAGGAAACCAGAGCACGTGGAGAAAACCCACGCAGGCACGGGGAAAACATGCAAATTCCACACGGGAAGACCGGAGCCGGAATTGAATCCTGCACCTCTGCACTGTGAGGCGGACGTGTTAACCAGTCGACCACCATACTGCCCAATTCATATTCCACAAAGGCAATAATAACCAGAATGCCGTGTTTTGTCTAACGCGGCCGCCCACACATAGTATTGTAAAGAAAATTACAAAACTCTTTTTGAAACACTAATTGAATTTATTACATACTTTTCAACCAGGATGTCATCTGCTAAATCTGGTGGGGGAATTCCCAATTGGCTCCGATTAAAAAATAAACAGACATGGTACAAAAGTACCATGGTAACCCTTGTGCTGCAATTTCTACGATGCTTGTAACACATGGGTTACCCCATATGTTACAATTTCTACAATTTTTGTAGATTTTTGCGTATTGTCATCTTTAAATCAAAGACACAGCATAAAAAGTGTGTGATATGAAATATTCCAATTCATGTTTTATTTATATAGATTTATATTTATGTTTTGGTCATAGCACAATACCACTTTTATTGTCCATAGAGGGCAAAAATACAAAGAAAAAAATAAGAACTATATGTCTATGTATAGCACTGATGCCACTGAACATGTCGAGTGGTTGAAAGTGAAATAAATATTCAGGAATAATACTTTTACAACTTTTGTAAAATTGTATGTTGCGTTATATTAACTTATTTAGATCGACTGCAGCACATGGTTAAAGACACACTAAAAAGGCTGAAAATCTGTTGTAGTCCAAAGAATGGATATTGTGATCGGCTCCTGGAGGGATGCCAGTTCGATATTAGAGCACAGGTGTCCTTAAAGAGAACACTTAAACTCACCATGCACTCCAATATCAGATGCATGCCCGCAGGGTTCGTTACGCATTTGACGTGTTCAAATACTGTACAAAGAAACTAAGTGTTACACTGAAGTTCCCCTCGGGGGAACAATAGAGCCTGTTGTTGTTTTCCCTTCTGCTGGCTTCCAGCTAACTTTGATTATTCAGCACTTCCTGAACCCATCAGCTCTCTTCAGTTTTAGAATAAGTCATGAACTTGTCATTCGCCTGTTAGCCTCTGCACCATTAGATGCACAACAGGGATTTTTTTTTTTTTTTTTTTTTTTTAAACATGTTGATCAGGCCTACAAAAAAAACTCCTCCAAGGCAAACTACATCACATCTGGACTGACTGTACTGTATTAAGATGAGGAAGTCAATTCATTGTGGGTGACAAAACACAGGCCACATTCTCCCTTTCCTTGTTATCCAAATGAGGCGAGGACCTACAAACACGCACATGCACACAAACACACACACACACGCACGTGCACACACACACACACACACACACACACACACACACACACACACACACA